AGAGAGAGAGAGAGAGGGAAGCAGGATCTCCGCCAAGCAGAGAACCCGATGCGGGACTCGATCCCAGGACCCTGAGATCACGACCCGAGCCGAAGGCAGCGGCTCAACCCACTGAGCCACCCAGGCGCCCCAAGACTCGCCTATCTTTTCTCAGCTTTGCCTCCCATCTCTCACATCCATTCCGATCAGGATTTAAGTCTCACCACTTCAACTGTTTTGTCAAAATCACTAGCACCTTCCTCCCTGCGGAGTGTGACAGCCTGTTTTCAGTTGTACCTTACTTGACCTGTCTGCAGCATGTGACACAACGGACCCCTCCCTCCTCTTTGAAACACTGTCTTCACTTGGCCCCGAGGACAGCAGTCACGTGGCTTTCCTGCTGCCACAACTGGCCACTCACTTACCAATATGCTGTGTCCACTGCTTCTCATTTCCCCAATCTCCAAACATTGGGGACCCCTGGCTCAGTCTTAAACCTCAACTTTTCTAACTATATTCACTCCCCTCGTCATCTCATCTGGTCTCATGCCCAGAACTGACTTCCTTGTTTTCCCCTCTAAACCGGTTCCATCTAGTCTTCCCCAGCTCAGCAGCAATTCTATCCTTCCACCTCTTCTCGCTGAAAGGCTTGGCTTCATGCATGACTCCTCTCTCCTACTCCACGCCTGATCCCTAAGCAAATCCTAGTGGTTCCCCCTTCAGAATACACCAATACTCCAACGACTTCCGGCCTCCTACTGCTACTACTACCACCCAAGCCACTGTCGTTCTCTCCACGTGGATCACTGCAAGTCCCTTATGACTGGTCTCCTGATTTCCTCCCTGTCCCCCATCAGTCTCTCTCTCTCTTTTTTTTTTAAAGATTTTATTTATTTGTTTGACAGAGAGATCACAAGTAAGCAGAGAGGCAGACAGAGAGAGGGAAGTAGGCTCCTCACTGAGCAGAGAGCCCGATGTGGGGCTCAATCCCAGGACCCCGAGATCAGGACCTGAGTTGAAGGCAGAGGCTTAACCCACTGAGCCACCCAGGCGCCCTCAGTCTCTTCTTAATACAGTGGCCAAAGAGATCCTGGGAAAGCACAGGAGGGATCATGTTCTCCTCTGCTCAAAGTTCCCCAACAGCACCCATCTCACCAGGTTAAACCCAAAGCCTCTACAGAAGCCTATGAGGCCGTCTGTAATCTGTCTTCCTCCAGCCTCCACTCCCCAACCTCTCTGACCTTATCTCCTCCTTCTCTTGCCTGGTTCACTCCCTTCCAACCACACCGCTCCCGCCTCCGCTTTGCACATGCAGTTTTCTCTGTCTGGCGAATCCTCCCCGACCATTTCCTTCAAGTCTGATCCAGGACGGCCTTCTGGTGAGGATTCTTTAAATCATTCTATTTAAAATTAGTAACTTCCCTTCAGCCCCCAGAACTCCCTATTGATCTATCTGCTTTATTTTTCTCTAGATCATCAGCTGACTGTATCCTGTAACTTTAATATTTTACTGTATCTCTCAACAAGAGTGTAGGTTTCACAAGTTCAAGGAGTATGGTCTGTGTGGTTCACTGGCTACTCCCCAGAGCTACGAGCACACTTGGCACATACTAAGCACCGCAATAAATAAATGTTAAATAAATGAATCAGGAGACGTGAGAAGGCATTCTCTGGACCTATAATAAAAGCATATTAAACAGTTCAACCTGAAATGAATTAAAGAGATTATACATGTATATAAATACAGATGATTCTCTAAAACCTCTGCCCAGCACAGGAAAGTCATTTTTTCCTAATATGCTGACCAAACAGTGCCTTAAATGCAGCAGGGTGGAAGAATCTTGGGAAAAGCAAAGGGCAACAGGCGAAGTGTTGGTCAAGAGATCACAGAGCTGCTCTGGCATTTAGCTGAGGAAAGCTGACAGGAGGAGAAGCAGCTTGTTATTTGGGCCCAGGACCCCCTAGGTCCTCCCACCTGCCCCTGAGTCTTACCTTCTTTTTTTTTTTTTTTAAAGATTTTATTTATTTATTTAACAGACAGAGATCACAAGTAGGCACAGAGGCAGGCAGAGAGAGAGGAGGAAGCAGGCTCCCTGCTGAGCAGAGAGCCCGATGTGGGGCTCGATCCCAGGACCCCGGGATCACGACCCGAGCCGAAGGCAGAGGCTTTAACCCACTGAGCCACCCAGGCGCCCCTGAGTCTTACCTTCTTTAGTGATGGTATCTACAGTCTCTTTGGCTTTGTCCTTCAAGTCATTCACCATAGTGTCCACCTGGGACTCATGCTTCAGGAAGATGGGTTGAATGACGCGCTTGTAGAGCAGTTCAGCCCCGTTGGAAGGGCTCGGGGCCATGCACCACAACAGGAAGCCACACTGCACAGGAAGACAGACAGCATGGTAACCATGGTAACGGGACAGGCCGCAAGCATCCTGACCACACACACTGCCACCGTTGCTCTGCGGATGGCCCTGCCTCAGCTATGTTCTCCAACAGCATTTCCAGTATTTTCTTTCTTTCTTCTTTTTTTTTTTTTGTTTAAGATTTTATTTATTTGACAGAGAGAGAGATCACAAGTAGGCAGAGAGGCAGGCAGAGAGAGAGGAAGGGAAGTAGGCTCCCCACTGAGCAGAGAGCCTGATGCGGGGCTTGATCCCAGGACCCTGGGATCATGATCAGAGCCGAAGGCAGAGGCTTCAACCCACTGAGTCACCCAGGTGCCCAAAACCTTGATTTTCTTAACCCCACATCTGTATTAACCCGAAACGCAGAGCGGAGCGGAGTGACTGCATCTCTCACCATCTGTTGCTTCCATTGCCTCTGCTTAAAGCCAGGCAGACCCTGTAGACCATCTCTCTAACATTTCCCTCTGGAAGACGTCTGGTTTTTATTTATTTATTTACTTTTTAAAAAGCTTTACTTATCTGAGAGAGAGTGTGTGTGTGCATGCATGCATGGGGGAGATGCAGAGGCTGAGGGAGAGAATCCCAACAGACTCCCTGCTGAGCGCAGAGCGCAATGAGGGAGGGGCTCAATCTCGCAACCCCAAACCCCTGACCGAATGTGACGCTTAACCAACTGAGCCACACAGGTATCTGGTTTTTAATATCCAAACATCATACGGTGTTTTCTAATGGTTTCTTATATAGGTTTAACACTAATACATACATACCCCAAACTCAATACAACAGTTTAAATGTGCAGGGAATGTGCAGGGAAAAGGAGAAACTATATCCTTGACATTGAATTAGAATTCCACGTGGACATTTTAAAGAGTATGCGGAGTAGGGGCGCCTGGGTGGCTCAGTGGTCTAAGCCTCTGCCTTCAGCTCAGGTCATGATCTCAGAGTCCTGGGATCGAGCCCCGCATCAGGCTCTCTGCTCAGCATGGAGCCTGCTTCCTCCTCTCTCTCTCTCTGCCTGCCTCTCTGCCTGCCTGTGAACTCTGTCAAATAAATAAAATCTTAAAAAAAAAAAAAAAGAGTATGTGGAGTATTCAAGGAGATGTGCCACGGACCATTGCATATGAGGCAATAATTTCTTACCAACTATGTTAACTGGAGAGCTAGAAGTGTTGAGTATTTGTTACTTATACAGGGATATTTTGCTGTGTTTTACTAATATTTGGGAAGCCAGTATGGAGTTTTTTATTTATACATCTTAATTTTTACCATCTAAAAGTGCAGTAAATAGTCTGCTGGCTGGTATTCCTACAGAAGATCTAATTTTCAGTAATGGATTACTGATGTAGAGATAGATGCCCGTATTATAAGCTCATCGGGGTCAAGGTGAAGTGGAAATGACTCACTGGATTAGGAATCAGTTGGTATCTATTTTATTTTACTTTATTTGATGACTTGAGGTAAAGTCATAAACAACCTCTCTAAGAGTTTTCTCTTCTGTGGGATTTCAGGAAAGTCACAAATTAAGGTCCTTAAAGAAAGTACTCAAGATAGCAATAGTATTCCCAAGTCCTACAGTCCTTATTGGTGTTGAAATCTCTGTGGTATTATCTGCCCGTGTAGACATCAACCCCTTAGTAATCCAGAAACGCTAATTCAATTCATCTTTTCTGGATGAATTAAGGCAAGACTATCAGAAAGAACCAGAGGTAAGCGTCTGTATTTTTGTACCTCTCCCAACGTGATGAGGCATTCCCTGGTCTGCTCAGGTCTTTCCAGTACCCTTCAGCTACTATCTTGGGACAGTAAAATAATTACTGCTCTCTACCTACATCATTAGCATTTTCCAGTTTTCAAATGGAAGAGCTTTCTTGTATTAAAAAATTAAGTTAATTACTGTTCAACTCTCATGGTGATATTCAGGTACCAGCTTTTCTAACTCCCTTAATCTACATAATTATTCTAGAGCCCAGGAGTACCCTGAACTACACAGATCCGACCATCATTTTATTAATTTTTTAAAGATTTTATTGATTGATTGATTGACTGATTGGAGAGAGACAAAGGAGCAGAGGGAGAGGGACAAGCGGACTCCCTGCTGAGCGCAGAGCCTGTCATGTCTCTCCATCCCATGACCCTGAGATCATGACCTGAGCTGAAATCAAGAGTCAGACGCATAACTGGCTTGCACCCCAGAGGCGCCCCTCCCCCACCATCTTTTTTTGTTTATTTTTTTTAATCAAGCTGCCCTCAAAGTGCCGACAGACCGGGCGATGCTCCCACTCCCGAGAGCCAACCGAAGCCCACTCTTACTGCCTGTGCTACTTTAACTGACGCTTGGCAAGATGAGGACTAACGGACTAACTCAAGTTCGGATTACAGCCGACCAGATGATTCTGTCCGTGGTTCTAACAATTTTACCATTTAAAAGTCCCGTTTTCTCCTAGAAGCCGCATCTCTAAGGCAGGGATCTGCTTTATATACAGTGGGACCAGACTGTCCAGAACTAAGTGAATGTCAAAAGCCACAAGAAAAATTAAAAAAAAAAAGAAATATTAATCGTGTCCTTACTTAGGTCTCTTTTCTCATCCATACATCACCATGTGATTGTAGCAACAGCATATGGTCTATGCTAGTCCTTAAAAAGGAATATTTTCGGGGCACGTGGGTGGCTTAGTCAGGTTAAGGGTCTGCCTTTGGCTCAGGTCATGATCCCAGGGTGCTGGGATCGAGCCCCATGTCGGGCTCTCTGCTCAGTGGGAAGTCTGCTTCTCCTTCTCCCTCTGCCCCCCTCCTCTGCTTGTGTGCTCTCCTTCTCTCAAATAAATAAATAAAATCTCTAAATTAAAAAAAGGGGGTGGGAGGTATTTTCCTACCCACTCTGCAATTCAGAGGCTTTTTCTCAGTCTGTTCTCTGAAGTCACTCAGAATATGCACTGCTGTGGGGAGAATGCATTTTGACTGACAGCATAATCAATTTTTAATCATCTCAAGTATATTATCTCTTTGGAACGTGCAGTAAATTCTCTCACTTTCACTGATGACTACTAATGGAGGCACATTTGTTTTACTATCCAGTGTGTTACTATCCAGTGTGAAGAGAGGATCTTGGTAAACTATCAGCAATGCCTGGGTCACGGCACCATATTTCCACCTTTTATTATCAAGCCCCTCTTGAATACACAATTGCTTTGGCTGTTTCCAAACAGTATACAAAGTAACTGAGCTGGGCCTAACAGGTCTTCCTGTCTAAGGGGAGGCCAGACCACAGATGTTCAACATTCAAGCCTTTGTTCCTATGCCTCTGTATGAGTCCTGAGATGGAAGTGTATTTTAGTGGTAGGGCACAAAGCAAATCCATAGGTAGAAGGAAAAAGAGCAGTTCAGGGAAAGCCAACATACCTTCAGCATGTAGTAGAAGGGGACCCATGACAGGAAGAGGTCAGAGAAGAATTCAGCAATGCTAAACACACCATACACTACCCAGTAGGTCAGCCACTGGGTATCATCTTCTTTGTTGGGACTCTCTATGGCTTTAATTCTGAAAGGCAATAAAAAGCACATGTGTCATGTAGGGATACCTCAATGAAACACTTTCAAACAGCAGACTCTGACAGCCGGCCCTCTAACACCAAGTAGGGAACTCAGGCAAATGCATGTGCCATGCTACTGAGATAGGAACACAACATAAGGATAGGAAGCAGTGAGGAAACAGTAAGACAAGCCATTGTAACTACTGGTCACCAGTCTTCTAGTCACCAGAAAAACCAACACTAGCTTTCCCCCAGATTTCCACCCTGCCTGTGCCTCCACCCAGGCACCAGGAGATACCACCAATGACTGGGAACCCCCAAGTGGCGTCCTGATGCCAGAGATACATCAAGAATTCTCTCATGGTGGGGCACCTGGCTGGCTCAGACAGTAGAGGATGTGACTCTTGATCTTGGGGTTGTGAGTCTGGGCCCCATGTTGGGTACAGAGATTACTTAAATAAATAAAATTGTAAAAAAAAAAAGAGAGAGAGAGAGAGAATTCATTCATGGTAACTTAGTTCTTATGTGCTTTTAATAACTGAGTTATGTCATGGGTAAATAGAAACTTCTGTAAAGGAACTTCAGGAACACAGTTCAGATACAGCCGGAAGTCTGTAATATACTTTGTAACAGACAGGTGAAAGCAAACATCATGGCTTCTGTTTGGTTCCGACTAGCATATGTGAGCCTTGGACTGTGATCTCTCCTCCCCTCATCTTAACAGCCTGACTTTCTCAGTACCACCTACTGCTTAAACAAATTTTATTCTGTAAATGAATGGAAATAAATTTAAAATCATCTTTTACTTCTGAATCACAGAAATCTCTTCCAGGCCTGGGAATCTCGTCATTCTAAGCCTGAATGCCACAATTTTTTTTTTATCCTGTCCTGACGTACGTCTGGTTACTTATCATAACTGAGTTGAACTAAAATAGTAAACTAGAAAACGTATGACTCTTGTTAGTCTATGGGATGCGGTAACTATTGAAAATACTTGGTACACAGGTTCCCGAAAGTGACTATTAGGTTGCTAAATCACGCTGAGTTATTCACTAAGAAAGCCTCTGAACTGGTGAGAGGCAGCTGTGGGTATTATGTTTGTTTGTGTGCATGATTGTTTTAAGAAAACAACTAAAGGGAGAAAGGTACAGCTGACTGAGATGAGCGCCAATGTCATGAGGGAGAGAGAGGGAGAAGTGATGGCCACTCTGAAAGTCAAGAGTGTTTCAGTTTACACAAAAGAATCACAAAATGAATTTAAGAAAGCTGCTTATAAAATAATAGCTTGTAACATGTGGACTATGTCCGTGTTTTAGCTTTCCTAGGACAGAAGCTGGCAAATGTAATCGAGGGCCATAGACAGGCGTAGGCAAGCACATTAGCCCAAGAACTAACAACGGTATCCCCTTGACATGTAAGGTCATTCTCCTCCCCATTTCTATTTAAGTGGATCTTTTAAGTTATTATTTTGATAAAGATTTTTTTTCTTATACATCACACCTGGGCAGAGGGGATGCGGAGGTATAATCACTTCTGGTCCTGGTCTGAGAAACAAAAGCAATCCATGACTAAGTAACCAAACATGATCCAGTCAACAAACATATCCACACATACACATAAACTGAAATAAACATTCCATGGAAACATTCTGGTATTTTCAATTCCATTCTGTGTCATTATTTTTAAGAGGTTAGTCAAGATCCACAGATTCAAACAGAAAAGCCACCCAAACAGTTCAAGTTCAGTGCTTCAAGGAATAAAAAAAAAAAAAAAAAAAAAAAAAAAAGGTTAGTCCTCTAACTTAAGGACACTATGGATTCAAAAGCTTCCTTGTTAATACACTTGGAACACTACGTAGTAACACTGGAAAGTAGGAAGAAAAGAGCTCGAAACTGAACACACAGGCTGACCAGGACTCTGGGGAAAACCAAGGCGGATGAAAGAAGAAAGGACCACAGAGACTTATTAAGCTAAAGATTTTTTTTTAAGATTTTATTTATTTATGTATTTGAGAAAGAGAGAGTATGCATGAGTGGGAGGAGGGGCAGAGGGAGAAGGAAAGGGAGAAGCAGACTCCAGGCTAAGCAGGGAGCCCAATCTATAAATGCATCGGGGCTTGACCCCAGAACCATGAGATCATTACCCAAGCTGAAGACAGATGCTTAACCCACTGAGCCACCCAGGCACCACCAGGAAATGGCAGTTTTAAGCTCTTCTCTGGGGAGAGAACTAACTAGACTGGGGAGCTTCATCTTTTTGAGTCTCGGGTTCCACACCTATAGACAATTTCTTGTTCCTTCTTTCTTGTTGTGACTAACTGATGATGTTATGACATGTAGACATTTTTAGAAATGAACCTTGTGCTATTTTAAATTAAAACAATAATTAAATGCTTCAATCATATGAGAACTTCTATTAAAAACCTCTTCAGCTTAAGGGTTCCTGGGTAGCTCAGTTCAGTGTCTGCCTTCAGCTTAGGTCCCGATCCCGGGGTCCTGGGATTGAGCCCCACATCAGGCTCCCCGCTCAGAAGGGAATCTGCTTCTCCCATCTGCAGCTCTCCCTGTTAGTGGTCTCTGTCTCAAATAAATAAATAAAAATCTTAAAAAAAAAAAAAATCTTGGGGCGCCTGGGTGACTCAGTGGGTTAAGCCACTGCTTTCGGCTCGGGTCATGGTCTCAGGGTCCTGGGATCGAGCCCCACATCGGGCTCTCTGCTCAGCGGGGTGCCTGCTTCCCTTCCTCTCTCTCTCTCTCTCTGCCTGCCTCTCTGCCTACTTATGATCTCTGTCTGTCAAATAACTAAATAAAATCTTTAAAAAAAAAAAACCAAAAACAAAAACAAAAACAAAAAAACAAACAACTGCCATTTCCTGAATGCTATTTACTTATAGACTTCCTTGTCCAGGTGAGTGGACTCAGATGATTAATTACTCAGCAATGCACTCTCCTGCCTCATACACACACGATCACATTTCAACTCAGTGTATCAGAATAATGATGTAGCTGCTTCTCAGGCAGCACGAGGACCCAAGAAATCTTAAGCAGGGCTCTATGCCTTTAAGTCATTTCCATTTTGGTCAACATGGCACAGCTGAAGACTGGGAGAGGTAAGAGCCTAATAATGTTTTTCCCAACATCATTTATCTATAAGACTATCCTTTCCGCACTTCATATTCTTGCCTCCTTTGTCATAGATGAATTGACCATATAAGCATGAGTTTATTTCTGGGCTTTCTATGCTGTTCTGTTGATCTATGTGTCCATCTTTGCAGCAGCACCATATTGTTCTACTACAGCGTTATAACAGACCTTGAATCTGGGACTGTGATACCTGCAGTTCAGGGTCTTTTGTGACTCCATGCAAATGTTAGGGTTATTTGTTCTAGTCCTGTAAAAAGTGCTATTGGTATTCTGATAGGGATTATACTGAATCTGTAGACTGCTTTGAGTAGTATGAACATTTTAACAATATTAGTTCTTCCAGTCCATGAGCGTGGTATGTCTTTCCATTTGTGTCCTCTTCATCAATGCCTCATAGTTTTCAGAATACAGGTTTTTCACATCCTTGGTTAAATTTTACCTAATAATTCTTTAACTTTATAAGAGCCCTATGAAATAGGTATTTTTAAAAAAGACTTTATTTATTTATTTGAGAGAGAGGGAGAGAGCAAGCATGAGAGGGGAGTGTGTCAGAGGGAGAACCAGACTCCCCACCAAGCAGGGAGCCTGATGCAGGACTTGATTCTGGGACTCCAAGATCATGACCTGAACCTAAGGCAGTTGCGTAACTGACTGAGCTACCCAGTCAGTTCCCCCTATGAAAGAGGTATTGTTACTTTCACTTTTGAGGGAAAGACTGAGGCTCAGGGAAGAAAAATAACATGTGCAGGGCTCGAAACTACAAAGTACCAGAGATTGGGGTGCCTGGGTGGCTCAGGGAGAGCCAGCAACTCTTGATCTCCAGGTCATGAGTTCAAGACCCATGCTGGGTGGACAGCTTACCTGAAAAGGAAGGAAGGGAGGAAGGAAAGAAGGAAGGAAGGAAGGAAGGAAGGAAGGAAGGAAGGAAGGAAGGAAGGAA